TCTTCCATTATCACCTTCTTTTGAATGTTATACAACACCTAATTGTTTGGAATCTAGTTTTATTCGATGTGCCAGGTGTAGCAAATTCGAGTTTTATAGCAAATAAAGTTTTTTCATTTTTTTTAATTTTAAAAAATTTAAAAAAATTTATTTTACAACAAAAAAATTTTTTTGTTGAAAATGAACTAAATAATGTTTAAAACAATTAGATAAAAAATAAAATTTAGAAAAGAATCGAACTTTTTAGAGAAAAAGGGTAAACGCAAGCACACTCACCACTACACAACGGTCCCAACAAAATAAGCGCACTATTTAATGTTTATATTTTGAGGGGGGAAATTATGCCAAATTTTGGGACTTTGGAGGGCCATATCTTGGCTAAATCAAAAAACGGGCAAAAACGGCTCAAAATCCTTGTTAGAAAGTGCACATTCTCTATAGAATGAGCCAGGTCTCGACCGTTTTTAGGTCGGACACCTCGCAACTCTCCTTGATAGTATGGGATTTTGATTTGTTTATAATATAAAATTCATCATTTGCAGGGCTTGTTAGAATGGCTTGGTTGCCGCTATACTATGCAAATGAAAATACTCCTGGCAAAATGATTGAAATTCAAATTTTAACAGAATATCTTGAAGAAAATGTAATTGATCTACATTTCGTTTTTGAGAACCTTGCAACAAAGGCTAATTTCGAAACTATTGAGATGCAATCACCATCATTATATGAATATTATAAAAGGTTCTTGCAGCTTAAAGAAAAGTACATTGTTTGAAATATGCCAAATTATCGGAAGGATATTTATTGGAAAATATGCATCTGGGCGTATTAAAATAGTACTAAGATGCGCAAAACAATTCGTTTCATGGGAAGAAAATCAATAAAGAGATGCCTAGGCCGTTGTTGGCTGAACCAACGATTTATGACCGGTGTAAGTTTAATCTGTTAATTATCATTAGAAATAGAAAATTTTTTGATATTAAATCTATAATAAAATAAATAATTCCATTTTTTGGTTAAAGATTTTCCGGGAGTGCAATTGGAAATTTGGCAATAACTTTTAAAAATTTCTTCATTCATAAATTTCCTGGTATTGTTTCTATTTTTTCCAAACTTTTAAGTGATAACGAAAAATCAATATGACTCGTAATCAGAGAATTTCGGAGTAAAATTCTTCATAAATCGACAAATCAACAAAAAATCGAAAATTTGAAGAACCTAACTTATAAAACGAATTTAGCTTTTAAACCGAAATTTTGAAAAACTCTCTTAATTAGCGGTGATTCCTAAGATCTCATACCCCCTCTTTCTCTGACCATTTTTTCATTTTTCCTTCACTTTCTCCAATCCTTCATTTCTTCAAAGATTATCTTCAATAACCAATAAAAAGCAAATAAAAAATTATAACATGATTAGTTTGTACAAACAGATATTAATCTATAACGATTTTGATGCTTGACTCGTTGCCTTCTCATTGTAAATGTACATGTCAATACGAAGTGCTTTTATCGTATCGGCGATTTTTATATTATGTATAGTCGTTCTGTCACAACATGCTTCACATGCTTGTTTACCATGAAGAAGTCCAAGCTATTCGAGATTAGCATCGAAATCGATGTCGCATGATTTGGTTTTCATATAAACTAATCATTTTATACTTTTTTTTGGTCTATATTGGTTATTGAATGATGTAAATAAGTTTTTTCAGAACTTTTCTCATCCATAGATAATAACTTTTCTCATCCATAGAGATACATAGATAATCCCTTACAATACTTGCCTCATAAAAAATAAGGAAGAAAATGAAGGGAAAATGAAAAAAATGGTCAAAAAAGAGGGGGTATACGAAAAGAAGAAGTAACCAAATCTGAATAACCTATTACAATGACCATTCGAGACAACATACAACTGCTGATCTCATTATACGAAACATTGTCGGTCTTCACAGTTTTCTTATTGAGTATTGCCCAAGTGCTTCTCCTGTCATAAAAATAATCATTTAACTTATAATTTTGCAGTTGCTTCTAATCCTTCTAAAATGGCTGACTCCGGAATCTGTGAGAAAATGGACAATTGAGACAAATGCAAAATCAGAACGATTGTTGAGCAAACTCGAGGAGGCCACAGACGATACAATGCTTTACCATTAGAATTCGTAAGGTTTTATGTCCTATGTGTCTACTGCTGATTCAGTTCCTTGGCAAGATAATATTTAATATAATCTAAAATCTTTTTGATAAATAAAAATATATTTGTAAAAATATTTTTAAATATAAGACAATAAATTTAAAATTTAATATTTATTTTTTGTTCCATTTTTCTAATTTCACAAAATATTTTCGTTTCATTACCGTTTCCCATTTTAGAAGAAAATGACGAAAAAATCTCAATATTTTAGTCAATTTTTTTATATTTTGTCGTATTTTTAAGCCAAAAATTGAAATTTAATTTAAATTTTGCTAATCGGTTCATTTTTTCATTAAATCTTTATTAAATATAAACATTATTTTCATCAAAAATTTATTTTTCTTATTGTTACTTTTTTAAAATTCTTCTTATTTATTATTTAAAATTTTTTTATTTTATACATTTTACATTTTAAATTAAAATCTAATTTAATATACATGTATATTTAAACGTTTTTGATTTAATACAATTTTTGTGTTTTTGCGTTGACATTTTTTACAGTTTTGTTTTTAATACTTGTATATTTATACCTTGTGTTTGCTCCTACATAAATTTTATTCTATCATTTAAAAACTATAATGTTTTCCTAAATAAAAGCTACCGAAATTTTTTCCGACATTACTCCAGTACCCTGGGTTCGAAAACCAAATTTCTTTTACCTTCAAAAGGAAAGGAAACTTATTTGTCGAAAAGGGCGGTGAATGTAATGAAAAAAAGGAAGATAAAAATGCGGCCGATAAAGAAAAGTTTTAATGTTTGTTCAAAGAGAGGACCCCATTAAATAAGCAGATGTCCAAATATTTTTTTCTATTTGAATAATAAAGAATTGTTCCGATAAAAACTGTGCCAAGTGAACAGTATAATAATAAAAGAAAATTCTTTATGTGTTTTATTAAAAAACTTTTAACAAATTTTATTTACATTTGTTTACAACTTTTTTATAAATAAAACTATTCAAACTTTACAAACATTAAAGTGTGTACAAAAGAAAAAATACTTAAAACTTGAATAAAACCTTGTCTAACAATAAGCTTAACATTATGTATTATTAAAACTTGACTTGAGTTTGCTTTAAACCTCAATGTTTTTGAAACTAACTTACTTTTTTAAAGCTTTGCTATTTTTATTTTCTTCTTTCAACTTAAATTTTTTTCAAAACTATAAGTTTTGTTTGTTTCAATTTTTAATCATAAACTCTAGGGTTTTTCAAACCCTTGTTTTTATTAAAAATTTATTTATTAACTAATTTGGTACTTATCGGTTATCTCCCCATATTTTCTTCTCTTTTATTTCCTATGCTCCTTCTGCCTAAAAGTTACAAAATTGAAAAGGAAAATAATGCCATTATTTTACCGTCTATACCGATAAGTACCAACTCTGGTTTTAGAACCGGTATTCTCGTATACATTGAAAAGATTGAAATTTAAAAATCTTTTGATCTTCGTCTAAATTCTATTATACATAAAAATGATTAAATAAAAATAAATATACTGACCAACTATACCAATTATTGAAAATACGAAAAATAGAAGTACCGGTTCTAAAACCAGAGTTGGGTACTTATCGGTAGAGTAAGTCGAGCTCGAGCGAGTTCGAGTTACTCGACTCGACCGCTCGGGTTTTTTGCGTAATTACTCGACTCGGAACTCGGGATCATAATACTCGGATTACTCGAGCTCGGAAACTTCTTACTCGACGTACTCGGTTAAAACCGAGTATTTTTATGCCCCCATCTGCGGCGCAAAAAGGAAGATTTTTAGCTTAAGGATCTTCCAAAATTCTCAAAATTTTCGCCTGCGGCGCTGAAAAAGGAAGAAATCTAGTGCGATGGACTTCCAAATTTCTCAAAACTTTTGCCTGCGGCGCTAAAAGAAGAAATTTTGCTCTCTGGCCTTCCAAAATTCTCGAAATTTTCGGCTGCGGCGCTGAAAAAGGAAGATTTGTGTATATCGGAGGATTCAATCAAGTTAAGTGGATTTTAGTGATATCCGGATATTTCAAGGGATCTAAAAGAATAGCGAGGGATCTGACTTTCTGAAAATTGGTGTTCCTACTTGATCTTCAGAAATTCTCAAAATTTAAGCCAACGGCGCGAAAAGAGAGGGATAGAGCAACGGATCTCATGATCACCTTTCGACAATATACCTAATCCAATGATATCCCAATTAATCTCCCGAATTTCCAAGATTTTGCTCCTAATACACACAAATCTCACTATAATCGGCCCAAATTCCGCTTAATCTCTTGATCTCCATCTCATTCCTCTTATCACTCGATATCCCCTTAATCTACACGAATCCCCGAAATAATATTATCCATTGATGTTCAACCCGGAGCCCGGATTAAACATGGATCGTGTGCATATCCTGGAATTTCTGCTGATTAAGAGGGATATAGACGGATTAACGAAAATAACTGGGATTTGGATGAAGGTCTAACGCATTAATGCCAACAAATGCTCAAAACACGGCACTGAGGATGAATAGTCTTTAGTAAAAGTATTGTTTTTATTGAAATTATTTAAAAATACTGTTTTATAAAAAATACTCGATTACTCGACTACTCGAACTCGAACTCGACCTAAAAAGTTGAGCTCGAGCTCGAACTCGGGTTTTTCAAACTCGGATTACTCGAGCTCGGTTTTTTCCCAATTACTCGGTACTCGACTTACTCTACTTATCGGTATAGACGGTAAAATGATGGCATTCTTTTCCTTTTCAATTTTGAAACTATTAGGCAGAAGGAGCAAAGAGAATAAAAGAGAGGAAAATGTGGCGAGATAACCGATAAGTACCACTAATTTATTTAAAAATATGTCTGATTGCCTACCACACGTTGTTATTGCTGGTTTAACGAAAAAGTATACGGCTGAAGATGTTATTTTTTCTATCTATTTTTAAATTTAATTATTTAATTAAAGTTTCGTCAACTTATAAACGACAAGGCCAAAGACCCCGAAATATACACATATCAACAATTAGTTGAAGAACTGCATTATAATACTGGGGATGCTTTTGCTTTTGTTAAAGTAAAAAATAAATTTTAAATTAATACAGAAAAAAATAAAATAAAAAAAAATTGACCATTCTGTTCACACATATTAAGAAAGAATAGAATGAAAAAAAGGAAAATAATAATGAGCGCAGATAATAGGAAAGCAGGGGGAATCTTTTCGAGTTCCGACTAACGGTTTCCGAAAATTTAGGCTGATTTGCGAGTTCCAACTTTTGAGCCATTTCCGATTTCCGACAGTTCTAATTTGCGGCACCCTCGTTATTTCCGATTCACCTCTGCAGGAAAGTACCCAAATTTCAAATTATAAAAAATAATATTATTTCTAGTTAAATTCTGAAGAAGCTGCAAACTGTCTTATTGCTCGTTTAAATGAGTCAAAATTGGAGGGATGGTAATAATTTTTTAAATTAAATTAAATTAAAAAAAATTTTTAGTGATCAAGTTCATGCGACTTTTATCCCAAAGTTTGGGATTGCGTGCAGTCTGTCACAAACGCTCTTCTCTCTGGAAATTCTGTTGATGAAGCCGAAGGACCAGATCCTGCAGCAGAAGGTCCAGATCCTTGTGGAGGTCCTTTAGGTTAATAATTATGGGTTTTAAATAAAGATTAATAAATTATAGATGGCTCGTGTGAGCGTAGAGGTCATGGTTGGGCGGCGGATGATTCTTTTGATGACTATATATCTGATCGATTTAGTTGGTTTGGTTGGAAACATGAAGTTGGAATTACTGGTATTTTTATAATAAATTTTCGAATAAATTGAAAAAATTTTACGTTAAAGATGACTCTATCAAACGCAAAGGATGGGGAACAGAAGAAGACAACGTTGAATCTTGTGGAACTGATTCAAGTGCTCCTGTCAAAAAATATGAAGAAAACAATGGACAGCAAGATGCAAGTGAAATAAAAGAAGAACGAGAAGGACGTGTTTATCTCTCAGAAAGTTGTGGGGTAGACAACAAAAAGGAGTAGGAGGGTGTATTTATTTAGAACTGTCAGGAATTACTCTTTGTGACGTGATTGCTCATATGTATCTTAATAACTCTCATAACTCTCAATCAACTTATTAAAAAGATAAAAATATTCTTTAAAGATATCGAAATTTTTTAAAAATATACTCTAAAAATAAGTTTATACTCTATACAGGGAGTCCAAAAATGATATGACCACTAAGTTTTCTGCTAATAACTTTGCTAAAACTCAATCAGATTGATTAATTTTTTAATTTTAATCTTTAGACACCTATATAATTCCTATATTTTTGACTGATAAGTAAAATTTAGACTAAAGAAAAATTTTGAGTTGAAAAAAGGAAAAGCGAGTAAATAGGGCCAAAAAAGGCCATATTACTTTTTTAAATTAGTATATTTTTTTGTTTTCTATCTATGTAATTCTTATTTTAATGTTTAAAAAGGAAGGCATAAAAAAGTAAAAAAACTTTACAGATTTTAAAATTTTATACTAAACTACATTTAATTCCATACAATGGATCTCTCTTGTAATATTTAAATGAATTTCAATGACTGTATCTCAATGAATGCTAGTTTTGTTTATCTTTTGATGGAACGTTTTTACGAGTGATTATTTATAGAATTGCCGAAAGTATCGTATTTCGAAACAAAAGATTAATAAATTATAGATTGATATTTTGCCCGAAGCTGACTCGTACAGTTCAGACAAGATAATGTTAGGCCCGAAAGTGACTCTTACCGGCCCGAACCGATAAAAACAAGACGAAACATCTAAAATTCTCAGAATTTTCGCCTGCGGCGCTGAAAGAAATGATTTTTGCTCCATATTTGGCTTTAGATCTCGAACTCATGGGCTTTAAGCGGCAGACTGGATTAATTCAATCAGTTCAGATATCCCAGGATTTTTTTTTCAAATTTATGTGAATTATTCTTATTACCTTAAATTGGATGGAATATGGTTCCTTTGCATTCCAAAAATTTCAAAATTTTTGCCTACGGCCTGAATATGGATAAAATCTGGATTCGTAATTTAGCCTGGGGCACTAAAATTCAATAAAGACAAGCCAGAAAAAAATGCCTCGACCGTCGGCATGACTCGCCAACGGTAACGCTAAACTTAATAGAAAAAGCATTCATGAAATTACAGTCATCGAAATGTCTACAAACTAATAAAATTTTTTAAATATGTAAATACTTTTTAGCATTAGCTTACATATTTTCTAACTATCAGATTGTTATCAATCGGCTCATTTATAAAGAGCAATGTTTTATTCCCATTTTACATATGATTGCCCACCTTGATCACCAAAATTTCCTCCATAATGAGAAGATTGCCCAAATTGTGTGTATCCAGGATTAACTTAAAGAAAAATTAGTTGTATGTCTAGAAATCGGATAAATAAATCAAATTTAAATAATCTTCAATATACAGTAAACGCTCTAATTAAAGCTGGGAGTCTATTTTTCGATAGGTCAATTTAGGTGGGCTTATATTAGATATAGGCTTCTATTAGGGAATGGGTATTTATTTTTCAATCCTTAAATTTAGATCACTTTAGATTTTTGACCAATATACAAAGTAAACTTTAACACAAAATTGGAAATATTTAAGTAATTGCAATGCGGAAATATGTATGAGTGAGAAATATTAAATAAAACTTTCCCAGCGACTCCGCCTATCCATAACCAATATAATCCTAGGAATAAGCGAAGGAAGGGATCAGTCAGGCAATCAGTCAGCGTATTAATCAGTCAGTTAATAATAAAAGTGAATTAATATATTTATTGCCCGATCGGAGGAACTAGTCGTCACTCGTTTAATCGCTCTTAGGGAGTGAACGTAAATATTGTCCGGCCTGACTACTAACATCATAATTAATTAGTATTCCCTCATATTCTATTATCCTGGGCTCTACACTGGGTATGGATTCAGCAAACTTCTTAATTTTATGAAATATTTTCCTTGGAAAATTCACGTTTTTTTGCTAGTTTCTAGTTAATCTTCAGAGGAACCCTTTTATATCACAATTAGTTGGAGGTATCGGTTGATTTTGAGCAATAAAATGGTCATATCGATAATGATTAAGATGGAAATCGGGATGATTAGGAGGAATTAAGACTATATAGAGCAGATATCGAGGCATTTGTGATATCAATACGTATATAAAGGGATTAAGATATTTCAGAGGAGATATCGAAGGATCTCCTTTTATCCCTTCAAATTATTTTTTAATGGGCCTAAATGGGAAATTTTTAAATAATTTTAAGAAATTTTTGTTTTGTTCCCATTTTATGATTTTTTTATTGATTCTCGAATTGTCCAAGGCTTGTATTAGATATGGGTTTCTAATAGAGCCGGGCCTTAATTAGGCATTTACGGTATTTTGTATAAAATTTATAGAAGAATTACCATCCTTTAAATAAGCCAACCACATAAAATTTAAATAATGAATATCAAGTTCCTTGGAGTAATTTGCTATGTGGTTATTCTCGAATTGTCCAAAGCCCAAATAATCCACTGTATTTTTAAATGCATTAACATTTCCTTGAAGTTTAGGGTCGTAGACGTCATAATAACTTTGAATTGATATTTCCTTTGAACTTAAATTATTTATAAAATAATTTTAAATAAATTTTTTAGTAAACAAATTTTTATTTTTCAACTACAATTTTTGTGTTTAAAGTTTAGTAAGAGTGTAAATTATACACATATTAAAATAATCTTTTATATGCAAAATTTGTCAAGAAAAAAATCTAAAAAATTTCGTCTGGTATTAAAAATTAATTTGGGAGAGTAAGATAAGAGTAAGATATTTTCACTTATTGGATCAAAAATATAATTGATTTTAACTAATCTTTTGTGTTTGATAATTTTTTGCGGATTTTTGATACTAAATGTGGATTTTTAAGCTAAAAATTGCGGATTTTGAAAACTTTGAGATCCGAACCCTCATATTACCTATATGATAAATAAATATTTTCTGTTCTTTACTGTAAGATTTTTCTATTACATATTTTAAAATTTTTATTTCATAAAAATCCTGGCCCTAATAATTAACAAATTTAGGAAAAAAAATTACGCGTCAACTTGATGCATTAACCATATATAATAACTAGAATCATTATTATATTCATTAATAAATGATTGAACAAGCATTTGAGTGAATTTGTATAAATTAAATAAAATAAAAATATTTTTTTCATAATATGTTGGACTATGACAATTGTAATAAATTCCACCAATTTGAATTTCACTAAATTTTATTATTATTTTTTGAACAAAAAATAAATATTTTTTGGCACTCCTGCCGTTTAGGGGACGACTTTTATTATTATTAGACTAATGCGAATTTTTTTTATTTTTCTGTCGGGAGTCACCAGATGTTATTACTATCAGTAATTTTGACATACCTATATCAATTAGGACCAATGTCAAAAAAATCAGGTTTATGAGAAGACATAACGGTAAAATATAACGGCTGGCATCCCAGCCTTCTAAAATTCCCCACCCCCTTCTAAAATTCCTGCGGGAAGAAATTTTTGTCTAAAACTTTTAAGAAGTTCTAAAATGAGGGTCTTTAATTGAATAATGTTCAGGAAATCTAAATTATTATATCTGTTTTTGGACATTTTTAATGTGTATTCTACAAGGTGCGGGGTTTTGGCACTTGCGGATTGAGGCTGAATAAAAAGCTGGAAGGGGTTTCTTGTGGGTTTTCTAAAATTTTTCGTAAGGGATTATTGTCAAAAATAATCCTATTACTCATTTATTTGTTAATAATTACTTTAATTGTGCCAATACAGCTCCGACTTGTTGTAAAATCGAATTTACATCATTGTCATTTCCCAAATTAATTTGTGTCAATTCTTTAAAGTGATTTTTAAATTTATCTGTTGGCATTATCGAAGCATTTTGAGTAAATCGTTGCATAATAATTTGTCGTTTATTTTCAACAAGTTCATGTTCATTATAGGCATAAAAACGTCTTTGTTCAGCTATATTTTCATAGTATTCAACAACCTATAAAAATAATTTTGCCTTTACTGCTAGCCCTGGTACTTGATACACGATATTTATAAACCCCTCCAACTTTCCCCATTATTTAACCAAAGGTGACTAGGTTCTGATAACAAATGACTAGAGTAAAGCAGCTGGGCTATAGCTATTTCTCTCCTTTAGCTAGAGCAAAAGGTTATTCGGCGGCTGGGAGCGAACCAGCATCTTCAGTAGACCGGACTGATGTGTTAGCCATTACACCACGCCGCCTACTGCATAGCCTTAGGAAATAAATAGCTATATGCTTTACACTAGGTTCGGATGTGTTCTTCCAATTAAAACCATTTACCTAGTGAATTTCAAAATTCCAATTTTTACTATTCTTTAATCAAATATTTCCATCCCCAGTTAATCCCCAAACCCCATAAACAGCGCTTGGAAGAAGAGCTAGACTTTATTTAAGAACTTTTGTCAAAATTAAGACTAAAGAAAAGTTAAAAATCATTAAAATCGTTAAAATTTCTAACACGACAATTGTACAGTATCCAGATATTCCGCATAATCACTTTCATGTCTTAATCCTCACTAGTTCCTCCATATCCTCTATAACCCACACAAAATAAAAATTAAGGAGGTTGGTATGTTGAGAGTGGTCTGGAATCGGGACTGTCTAAAGCTGGAAGATAACAAAAAAAATAAAAATTTTGATCGGCAGTAGTTCGGTTGGATTAGTTAACTGACAGAAACTGTAAATTTTTTTACCGCTTAGCAGAACAACAAATTTCTTTTTTAAAAACTCTCGATACTGTACAATTGTCCACTGTATAATTGTCATAAAAATTATTATTTAATGGTTTAAATTTTTCCTACCTCTTTCAATTTCTCGAATGTTTGATTAAAAGGAGATGAATCAAAAATATCATCTACAGTAAAATTGCT